ACCCTACTTATCTCCAAGAACTGTACTTCTCCAGAGCGAGCAGAAGGGCTGCCAAAATCACTCTGGACCCCTCACACCCAGCACACTGCCTCTTTGAACTTTTACCTTCTGGTCCACACTACAGAGCACTGTGCATCAGAACAGCCCCACGCAGAAACAGTTTCATCCCTCAGGCAATACATCTCATGAACAGGATGATAATAATTGTGAAACAAACATCACTGTTTGCCATACACTTTTATACACACGTATTCAACAACACACCTTACATGCCAATTTGCACATAACAGCTGCACACAGGGCTTTACATTAACACCCGCCAAATGTGGGTAGATTTCAGCTTTGGCGGGTTAGACAGCCGCTCCCACTAGCCACTTTGGCAGGTTGGAAATAATTTTGACATTGTAGTTTTCTTAAAGCAGGGTTCACCAATAAGGATGGCCCAATATGCGTGCAAATGTGATCTTAGAATCGAGAAATAGCACGACTGAAAACAATAACTGTTCGCGCGAGACAAAGCAGGTGAATACCGTATGAGAGGATGATTACTCGCGAGCGCAGGTGATGTGATGCGCACAACTGTTAAAAAGCTCGTGCGCGGGCTCCCGTTTACTTGCGCTTTTTTTCCGTTCACTTGCATTCGGTTCTCTTTGAAAAAGACTAGACAAAAAACAATGCTCGTATACCTACACGGGAAAAAAAAAGTGTTGCATGCAGAACTGTTGCAAACAATTTATTTGTGCTGAATTTAAACAAACAAATTAAATTGAATAATGTTTAACTTAATTTGTTTTTTTAAATTCAACACAATTCAATTTGTTTACAACTACTTAACAAAAACAAATTGAGTAAATCCAAGGAATCATCTTTGAATATTTTTTCAGTGTACAGTCCTGCTGCTTTTAAGAGCTCAAGATTGAAAAATGTATAAATTTGTAAGCAACAGCAGCAGTCAATGCTTTCGTTTTAATTATGCTCAGGCACGTGATCATCCTTTCATTATCACTCGTGGTGTGTTTTTACCTGCTTTCTTTTGCTTACAGTTATTTTTGTTAATATAGTTTAATCATCATCCTTTATAATAACATTGCTTTAATATGAGATTAACTCCCCATTTTTGTGTAGTAACTGCTGATCTGGGACCTTTAGCCAGGACAGATTAATGTGCAGATTTTAGATGCATGACAATAGATCTTTTTAAATGTTAATTAAAAATAATAATAATAATAAAGTTTTGTTGAATAAAACGTGCATGTATACAGCTATATATTTGCTTGCTTTGACACATTTAAATATGTGGCTGAGAAATAATTATTTCTTTTTAACGTGGGTAGAGATGAATTCTTTATTCTGAGCCCTAAAAAGTCATGTGAAATAAAAACCAATTGCAATGTGACACAACCCATTTGCTCATGCACAGCTCATACACAACACACACACACAGTGAAATAAATGAGGAGGCATGTGGACAGCACAACATCTAAATCAAGTCATTTTAGCATGTCAAAGTCACATTTATTTATATAAAATATATTTTCCAAACAACAAAATTGTGGCTGGTGAAAATGGCAAGTGGCTAGTAATGTTGGAAATCTACTAGCCACAGTGGCTGGCGATCAAAAAAGGTTAATGTAAAGCCCTGGCTGCACATATAAGGGTGTATATAGTAATATACCTGTACATACACCTGTCATTCTGTATATTTGCATTCACTACTTACTTCTATCTTTAAAATATATTAATGATCTGTGTTTTGTCCTGTCTCTGTAATTCTGTTGCACTGTAGAAGCTCTGTCACCAAAACAAACTCCTCGTAAGTGTGAACATACCTGCCAATGAAACTCTTTCTGATTCCGATTAAGGGGTTAATAATATTGACCTTAAAATGGCTTTGCAACTATTAAAAACTACTTTTATTCCAGCCGAAATAAAACAAATAAGACGTTCTCCATAAGATTAAATATTATAGGTAAAACTGGGAAAAATTCCTAAATCTGTTCAACATCATTTGGGAAATAATTAAAAAATAATTTTAAAAAAATCACAGATGTTGAATAATTCTGACTTCAACTGCATATACTCATGTAGCGGAATGAAGTAAAGCTCAACCGAACTTGAGTTGAAGTGTGTGAGACACAGGGGCGATGACCTTGACTAAAGCAGAGCAGCTTCTCTTTGATTCTGCCTTGCTTTGTTCTCGGCGAATGTTTCCTCTTTATTTGGAGGGTTGATTTTTCAGAAGACGTGCCTTAAATGTAATGAGCTGCGTGTTCCTCGTGGACCGGCGACGCTTTGATCCTCTGTCATCCTGTGTTAACCGTATGAACCGTTCATTCCCATCAGCCCCTGCTGCACATCTGAAAGATCCACACAGACACAACACTGATCCCTCAGTCTCTAAAGATCCCAGAGTCTGCTGCAAAACACATTATGCAATCATTATTTAACCCTGTAAAGCCTGACGTATGAAGTAATCATCAGAAGAGCACATGGATTACTTCTCAATTTTCTACAATCTCTTAGTTTAGTATTTGTCGTAATGTAATTTGACTACTTCTGGATTACATTTAGATTACTTTTATTATAACCATTATATGATATTACAATACATTTTGTAGTCAGGATTATGATATCTTAGATTAGATGTTTGTGTTAATCAGACTACTTTTGGATTACATTTAGATTACTTTTGTGCTAACTGTTCTTTGATTACACAATAACATTTGTAGTTTGTAATGAATCTTTGACGTTAAAAGTAGTGTAATCTGACTACTTTTGGATTACATTTGGATTACTTTTGTTATAACCGTTATATGATTATGGTGCATTTTGTTTCCAGTTATATAATATCTTAGATTAAATGTTTGTGGTAATGTAATCGTACTACTTCTGGATTACATTTAGATTACTTTTGTGCTAACTGTTCTTTGATTACACAATAACATTTGTAGTTTGTAATGTATCTTAAACATTAATGGTAATGTAATCTGACTACTTTTGGATTACATTTGGATTACTTTTGTGCTAACTGTTTGATTACATGATAACATTTGTAGTTTGTAATGTAGCTTAGATTAGAAATCAATGTGACTACTCTTGGATTACTTTTAGATTACTTTTGTGGAAACCTTTTGTTTAAATGTGTACTCGGTAATATATCTAAGATGAGACATTTATGTTAATGTCATCTGACTACTTCTAGATTAGATTTAGATTACTTTTGTTTTAGTTGTTATTTGATTACACAATTTGTATTCAGTTATACAATATCTTAGATTATATATTCATAGTAAGTAATGTGTCTTTTTGTGGATTACATTTAGATTACTTTTGTGTCTCCTGTGATTACATTACAACAAATGTATTCTGAGATATTTTGTTACTTTTTATTATGTAATCTGACTATTCTGGATTACATTTAGATTAATTTTGTGATAACCCTTATTTGATTACATTACAAAACATTTCCTTAATAATATATCTTGGATAAGACTTTTGTAGTAACGTAATCTGACTATTCTTTACATTTAGATTACTTTTGTGCGAATCGTTATTTGACTGTGGTCACACAATATAATTTGAGGCCAGGAATATAATATCTTAGATTAGACATTTGTAGTAATGTTATTAGACTACTTCTGAATTACATTTAGACTACTTTTATGCTAACTGTTATTTGATTACACAATAACATTTGTAGTTTGTAATGTATCTTAGACATTAATGGTAGTGTAATCTGACTACTTTTGGATTACATTTAGATTACTTTTGTTATAACTGTTATATGATTATACAATACATTTTGTAGTCAGTAATATAGTATCTTAGATTAGACGTTTGTAGTAATGTAATTACACTTTTGGATTACATTTAGATTACTTTTGTGTTAATTTATTTGATTACACTGTAAAATGTGTAGTTTGTAATGTATCTTAGACATTAATGGTAGTGTAATCTGACTACTTTTGGATTATATTTGGATTACTTTTGTTATAATTGTTATATGATTATACAATACATTTTGTAGTCAGTAATATAGTATCTTAGATTAGACGTTTGTAGTAATGTAATTAGACTACTTTTGGATTACATTTAGATTACTTTTGTGTTAATTTATTTGATTACATGGTAAAATGTGTAGTTTGTAATGTATCTTAGACATTAATGGCAGTGAAATCTGAATACTTTTGGATTACATTTAGATTACTTTTGTGTTAACATGTATTTGATTACATTATAACATTTTTAGTCTGTTATATAAAATCTTAAATGAGACATTTCTGGTAATGTAATCTGACTACTTCCGGATTACTTACAGATTACTTTTCCGCTAAACCTTATTTGATGTCACATATAAAGATGCAGGATAATCTTGTGCTGTTTTGACAGATAGAAAAATTAAATCTCTATTTTTTTTATGAGCAACAAGACCGTTGTTAACCGTTTCTCTTAAAAAGGTAATGATGATCACTTAATATTTCATACTCGCACTAATGTTCCTCACTGTTAGTGTTTGCTGATAGAAAACCTTAACACAAAACCACAAACATTGACTGAACATTATGTACATTAAGGACACATTAATGTTACAAAAACAACTTGACGTTCACAGCAACATCACAACTCACTAGTCAGCTCTGGAGAAAATCATTCCACCGCTGGAAAACAGAGGAAGTACTGGTTCTGGAAATAAACTTTCCGCAAAACACTGACATTTCTGCTGCTATGCTGAAAAGATGTTTTATTTTATTGCCAATAATGACAATCTCCTACAAGCCTCTGTTGTATGACTGGCAGTTTGTATAAAACAGGATTGATCATTTTGATGATGTTAGACATTGGCTTATCAACTATAATGATACCGTAGGGTAAATTGTGTGACTCATATGCTTATACATTTGCATAATGCAATCATTACTAAAGTATTGCGCTGTCTAGGTAACCATTCTAAAACTTCGCTCTGAGGGGGTGGAGCTGAATGGATCTGCTGTACCACCTGATAAAAGAAAGACACACCCACCTGAGGACGATGCCCACTGGAAGCTGTACAGGTGAACAAAACAACTGTTGTTGAATTTTTACATGTAACTTGTATTATATATCTGAATTGGGTAGGCTATTGGGTACTGTTCGTAGTGTATGTGTGTGAATGAGTGTGTGTGTGGATGTTTCCCAGTGATGGGTTACAGCTGGAAGGGCTTGCACTGTGTAAAACATGTGCTGGATGAGTTGGCGGTTCATTCCGCTGTGGCGACCTCTGAAACTTCTAAGCCGAAGGGAAATAAATGAATGAATGAACTAATAAAAATCTATTTGGTATTTGTGTGTGTGTGTGTGTGTTTACTGTATAATAATTTTATTATTATTATTATCATCATTTCTAATAATTTCACTAATGTAAAAAAGTAATGTGATTTTAAATGGTTTTTGAAGCTGTGTCCTAGTCTCTGTATCTCTCTCACACACACACACACACACATTTGTCTCTCAGACTGATTTGTGGTGTTCGATGTTGATCTGGTGTGTGTTATTGAGCCGAACAGAGAGGATAATCACAGAGAGCCGCTCTATTCCACATCCCAGCATGCATTAAATGACTTTCTCAAATTATCAGCCACATGAAACAAAAGTCAGGATAAACAGGGCTCAGCAGAACACACACACACACACACACACACACACTTACACTGCTTTAATGTGAATCGCCCGTTGCCTAATGAGATCAGATGGAATTGGATTCAGCTTTATTGTATCTGTGCGGAGTGTCAGTGTAATTCAGTTAGCAGATAAACACACGCTGCTGCTGCTGCATCACATATCAATGCATTCTGTGCATTCTGTGCAAATGCAGATTACATACTGTACATGACAGCAGAGGGCACACTGTGCTGCCATGAAGACATCAGAAAGTTCTTAGATATTATATTCAAATTATGTAATAGCAGTATGTTGGATTGGTAACAGTATGTCCTTAAATGGTAAAATTATGCATTGTTGACTTGTGTATAATAAAAATAAAAGTAAATAATGATGCTAATAATAATAACAATATTATTAATTTAGTTAATTATAATTTTATATATACTGTAATATAGTGCATTCACATGCACTATAATTTTAATTATCTTAATAATTTATATTATTATTATTAATAACAATAATAATGTAATCTTTTTAATTTGTTAATAATAACAATGATACTAATGTTATTATTATTATTATTATTATTATTATTATTAATAATAATAATAATATTATTATTATTGTCGCTATTATTGTTAGTATAAATTATTATGATGATGATTGTATTCATAATAATAATATTAATAATAATGATAATAATAATGATATTTATAATAATAACAACAATAATGACAACAATAATAATAACAATAATAAATAACAATAATAAACGTTTTTATTTATAGTAAAACATTATTATTATTTTTGTTGTTATTGTTATTATTATTAATTTATATTGATTAATAATAATGATAATAATAATAATAATAATAATAATAATAATAATAATAATAATAATCTTTAGAATTTGATGATAATGATAAAATTATTATTATTATTATTAGTAGTAATATTAGTATTGTTGTTAATACAAATAATTAAGATGATGATGATAGTAATATAATATCTTAGACTAGACATTTATGGTAATGTAATCAGACTTCATCTGAATTACATTAAGATTACTTCTGTGCTAACCGTTATTTGGTTACATTATAAAATGCTCAGTCAGTAATATATCTAAGATTAGACATTCATGGTAAAGTAATCTGATTACTTCTGGATTACATTTAGATTTCTTTTGTGTTAACACTTATTTGATTATACAACACAATTTATATTCAGTAGTCTAATATTTTAGACTAGACATTTAGGCTAGTGTAATCTGACTACTTTTTGGTTACATTTAGATTTCTTTAGTCTTTTCCCCTGTTTGATTACATTATAAAATGTGTGGTCTGTAATATATCTTAGATTAGACGTTTGTGGTAATGTAATCTGACTACTTTGGATTACATTTAGATTACTTTTGTGTTAACACTTTGATTACATAATGAAATGTTTGGTCAGTAATATAATATCTTAGATTAGACTTTTATAAAAATGTAATCTGATTACTTTTGGATTACATTTAGATTACTTTGTCCTAATCGTTATTTCATACGTCAGTAATATAATATCTTAAATGAGACATTTCTGGTAATGTAATCTGACTACTTCCGGATTACTTACAGATTACTTTTGTGCTAAACCTTATTTGATATCACATGTAAAGATGTTATATTATAGAATAATAATAGTAATAATAATAATAATAGCATTAGCATTACCATAGGGGGAATTTTTGTAAAAATGCTGAATTATTTATTGATCTAAACAAATGGTAAAACAATAAATATACTATGTATGACTATAAATTTAATGAATAAAGTAAATATAAATGTGTGTGTGAGTGTATGTGTCTGTATGTATGTATATATATATATATATATATATATATATATATATATATTGGGGAAGGTGTGCCAGTAGAATGACATGTAAATCGATATAAAATAGTTCAGGACAATATAACTGCTCTATAAATATTTTCATCATCAACATCTAATCTAATGATCACACGTTTAATAGTAATACAGACATACATTATCATGTGTTACGCCCGCTGTCATCAGTCATTGTCTTTTCTCTCTGTGCTCAGTGATTGGATCAAGGATCTGTCAGCTTACGCCATTGGTCAGTTCCTGCGAGGGGCGGAGTTGGGGGTGGAGCTGTGTGAGGCGTGGCTGGTGGTGAATGCAGCTGTTTATCTGTGGAACTACAGCAGGGATGTACTGTCCAGAGGAGAATATCTGCTGCTGCTGCCCACATTCAGCCGCATGCTGGAGCTGCTGAGACACACGGGGCATGCTGGGTAATGAAGTCCTGCTGTTACTGTGTGTGAGGGATGTTTCTGACTGAGGGATTGATGTTCCTTACTAGTGCTGAAATGTAAAGTTCAGTGCGTGTGTGCTCCAGATAGGATTGACTTTCGATGTATGTTTTTTGAGGTGTTTTTAAATGTGTTTATATTTTAAGTATTGTCCCTAATAGTACTTTCACAAATTAAATAGAAATGTTTTTTTAATATTATTTGATTTGATTTTAGTTGGTGTGTGTTGCTTTATATTATGTTTTGTGTATTATTGTTCATTTTCATTCGCTTATCTGAGGCCGGGTCGTGTGGGCAGCAGTGTTAGGAGAGAACCCCAGACTTCCCTCTCTTCAGACACTTCCTCCAGCTCCTCCAGGGGGATCCCAAGGCGTTCCCAGGCCACCCGAGAGACATAGTCCCTCCAGTGTGTCCTGGGTCTTCAGCCCAGTCAAATCAGCCCAGTGCATGCTGAAGGTCCATGTTCGATGAAGCCAACAGAACAACATCAACTGCGAATAACAGCGGTGAAATCCTGTGCTCCCCGAACTATTATTTGCCGATTATTATTTTTGTTTTAATTATTTTATGTTAAGTTTGTTAATTTTGGTTTAAAAAGTATATTTATTGGTGGGCTTGGTAGCGCTGACGAGTCTGGGCGGGACCGAGAGCCCCGCGAATGGCGCGACCTAAATGGAGCGATTGTTTACAAGTGTGGAGCTCCGGATGGAAAGTTTTGTTTTGTGTTTACCTCATAGTTAAAGTTGTTGCACGTCCGCCGGTTCCTGCCTCAAAATGAGCGAGTTTGAGCCACTTGTACATCCCGGAAGTCTTCAGAAAAACAAAACAGCAGCGAAGAAACTCGACACAGAGGAACATTTACACCTCACTGCCCACTAGCGCTTCAGAAGTGTTAATGCAGACCAACAGAGACAGCGCGCAGAAGCATGCATGCGCCATGGGTTACGCCGGTCACTTAACGCAGAAGTATAAACCAGGCTTTATCCAGCATATGCTTCATGGAGCGGATGCCCTTCCAGCTGCAACCCATCACTGGGAAACACCCATACACACTCATTCACATGCACTGATACACTACAGCCAATGTAGCTTACCCATTTCCCCTATAGCGCATGTGTTTGGACTGTGGGGAAACCGGAGCACCCGGAGAAAACAGAACAGACCATCGTTATACATTGACTTGCCTAATTACCCTAACTTTACCCTAATTACCCTAGTGAAGCCTTTAAATGTCACTTTAAGCTGAAGAGAAGTCTCTTGGAAAAACATCTAGTCAAATATTATTTACCATCAACAATGTTGAAAAGATCTGCTCTCTGTTAAACAGAAAATGGGGAAATATATGCAGGGGGGCAAATAATTCTGACTTTAACTTTATATATTATTTTGATTTGATTTTAATAATTATTTCTAATTATTCTGTAATTATTGTTATGCATCATTGATAGTGTGTGTGTGTGTGTGTGTGTGTGTGTTTTGTGCAGTGAGCTGGTTGTGGTGGTGCTGCTGTGTGACGCTGTGGCTCAAGGACTCCTCCAGCAGTGTGTGTGTGTGGATCCGGAACCCCAGAGCGCGGTAAAAGCAGCAGAAAAGACTAAGAAAAGTCGAGGAAAGATTGTGGAGAAAACAGGCTTCACTGCGGGCCCTCAGCTGGAAACGGCGGCTCTGCAGGACATCAGGAGAGCTTTAGAGGTGAGCCACTGCTTATCTGCACACACACACAACAAATACAGCGTCTGACGAGGGGTCTAGAGGCCTGAAACATTCACAACAAGCTCCAAATACCAGCTTGACTTCAAATGAGCTTGGAGGAAATAAATGTTCCATGTGTTTTAATTATGCAGTTTTTGCATAGAAACTTAAAGTGATGCACGTTTATCACTCATACATGAATATAATATAAGTGAGCTTATGAAAATATGAAAAAAAAAATGTATGTGCCTATCTGAAATAGAATTTTATGAAGTGCTGTAAGAGATCACTACAGATTTGTGATGTGTACTTTTACTTTATTGTGTTTTGGCTTTATTTATTTTTTTTGTTTGTTTCTATTATTATTATGATTTTTATGATTATTCTGTAATTATAGCATTTTATAATGCTGAATTCGTTAGTTGTATTATTTATATGTTCTGAAATAAGTAATACAAAAAATATGATAACACTGAAAAAATATTTCGTCTTATTATATTAAGCAGAATTATTTTATGAACTTTATATGTACTTTTGTTTTATTTATGCATTTATTTTTTACATTTATTTATTTATGCATTTATTTATTTATTTACGCTTATATTTATGCATTTATTCATAAATGTACTTTTGTATTTATTTATGCATTTATTTGTTTATTTATGTATTTGTTTGTTTATTTACGCATGTATTTATGTATTTATTCATGCATTTGTATTTGCATTTGTTTATACATTTATTTGTTTATTTATGCATTTATTTATTAATTTTTTATTAATTTGTTTATTTATGCATATATTTATGCATTTTATTTTTGCATTTATTAATGTTTTTATTTGTTAATTGATCCGTTTATTTACTTATTTATGCATTTATTTATTTGTTTATGTATGCATTTGTGTGTGCTTTTATTTATGCATTTATTTATGCAATTTGTTTATGTATGCATTTATTTTTGTATTTGTTTATGCAATTATTCATGCTTTTATTTGTTAATTTATGCATTTATTTTTGCATTGATGCATGCATTTGTTTTAATGCATTTATTTGTTTATTTTTGCATTTATTCATGCATTTATTTGTTTATTTATTTGTTTATTTATTACATTTTGCATTTATTTTTGCCTTTATTAATGCTTTTATTTTTTATTTATGCATTTATTTATGCATTTATGTACGCATTTATTGATTTATTTGTGTATTTATTTATGCATTTATTTTTGCATTTATTTATGCGTTTATTGATTTATTTGTGTATTTATTTATACAATTATTTATGTATTTATTTATGCATTTATTTTTGCATTTAATTTATGCGTTTATTGATTTATTTGTGTATTTATTCATACAATTATTTTTGCATTTATGTATGCGTTTATTTATGCATGTATGCAAGCAAGCAAAACAAGCTCCAAATATCAGTCTAAAACCAGATAAGCTTGAAGACAATAAATGTTGCATGTATTTGAATTATGCAGTTTTCATATAAACTTAATGTGACACATATTTGTCAGTTGTACATAAATATGTCATGTTTTTTGCACTCTACAAAAAAAGGATGAATAAAAAACGTGACACATTCTAAAGTGCCCCTATTATGAATATTTGAAAATGAGCGTTCATGTGGTGTAACTCAGCTCCAAGTGAATGAAGCATCCTGCAGAGTGCACAGTGTGTGTAAAGTTACTGACTCTCAATCCAAGAGTTGATTCATTAAAAATGAGTCACTTTCAGGATGATTCCCAAACCGTCTTTATATTGACGTCAACCTGAGACAGTAGCATAGTGTGCAGTGTTCTGTCTGTGTGTTCATTTGAGTGTGAGTATGCATTTGTGTGTGCAATTGTGTGCATGTATGTGTACACACACTTGTATGTTTGTGTATTTTTTTTGTGCATTTCTGTTCAATGGATCTTTGTGCATAAATGTGTGGTTTTGTGTTTATCTTTATCTTGTATAGCATTTTAGACAAGCTAAAAATGTGGTCTTGTTTTCTGAAATGATATGCCAAAATGAAGTACGTTTTTCCTTAAAGGAAGCAATAATTACACAATATGGTAAGTGAAACAATTGTCAGATTATTTAGCTTTTTTTTTACTCATTATTTCTGAAAACGAGACAGTATTTTTTTGCTTGTCTAGAAAACGCTCCTTGATTTAAGACTTTTTAGATATTTGGACTAGAAACAAGACAAAAACAAGTAGGAAAAGTATTTTAGCAGTGCATGAGCGTGTGTCTCAGATCCAATCGAACACATTTAATGAACATTTCCTATTAAACTGCTCTTTCTGAAATGGATTCACAGTCAGATGCTGTTAAACGTCTCGCTCGTCTTGCCGCTTCTAATTAAATTTCATTTTGCTGCCTTTTGTGCAGATTTACAGACCCTTTGCTGCACATATCAGCGCTAATTCCACATGAAAGCCTTTATAATAGGGAAATTATTCGCTAACTACTTTCCCTAACACTGCTCTTTTCACACTCCACATGAGAAGCTAATCTGGCCGTTTCAAACACACATCAGGCTACAGAAAACTGCAGATTTACACTCAAACTCTGAGTTAGAGGATGTACTGGAGATGCTCTGTGCTCTGCTGATACCTGTGTGTGTGTGTGTGTGTGTGTGTGTGTGTGTGTGTGTGTGTGTGTGTGTGTGTGTGTGTGTGTTTCTGATATATATCCAAATGCTTGTTAATGCAAATTTTCAATCAGCCAATCACATGGCAGCAGCTCAAGGCATTTAGGCATGTAGACATGGTCAAGAGGATCTGCTGCAGTTCAAAGCGAGCATCAGAATGGGGAAGAAAGGGGATTTAAGAGACTTTGAACATGGCTTGGTTTTTGCTGCCAGACTGGCTGCTCTGAGTATTTCAGAAACTGCTGATCTACTGGGATTTTTACGCACAACCATCTCTAGGGTTTACAGAGAAACGTTGCCTGCTCTGATGAGTCTCCATTTCTGCTGACACATTCAGATGCTCGACTCACAATTTGGCCTCAACAACATGAAAGCATGGATCATCCTGCCTTGTATCAGCGGTTCAGGCTGGTGGTGGTGGTGTAATGGTGTGGGGGAGATTTTCTTTGGGTCCATTAGTACCAATTGAGCATCAACGCCACAGCCTACCTGAGTATTGCTGCTGACCATGTCCATCCCTTTATGAGCACAGTGTCTCCATCTTCTGATGGCTACTTCCAGCAGGATAACGCAGCATGTCATAAAGCTCAATCATCTCAGACTGGTGAACATGACGATGAGTTCACTGTACTCAAATGGCCTCCACAGCCACCAGAGCTCAATCCAATAGAGCAGCTTTGGGATGTGGTGGAACGGGAGATTGGCATCATGGATGTGCAGCCGACAAATCTGCAGCAACTGTGTGATGCTATCATGACAATATGGAGCAAAACCTCTGAGCAATATTTTTCAGTAGCTTGTTGAATCTCTGCCATGAAGGATTAAAGCAGCTCTGAAGGCTTTGTATCTGGGCATGACCACAAATAAGCAACGTGTTTAATTGTGAAGAGCTTTCAGTATGCCTTTTTTTCTGATTTTGTACGTGTATATACTTCTGTTTTTTGTGTCCTCAAAAATCTTTTCCCCTTATGTAGATGTAAATGAATCGTTAAAGTATGTGTGTGTGTTTGTGTGTGTGTTTGTGTGTAGGTGTGTGAGTATGCTCTGAAGCTGTCCAATGGGAACATTGATCCAGTGCCTATCATGGTGAGGAAGAAGCTCTTGAGCACGTGGGTCTCCGTTAAACAGCAGCTTCAGCAACAGATCGGACTTAAACTGGACATCAATGATGAGGTGATGGACAAAATAAAACTAAACCAGTCTGGATGCTTCAGGGTTTACGGCTAATTAACTCTATTGTGAGAATATGTAGGCAAACACATCTCAGTTTTATTTAGAGACTCAAACTGAGCAAATAATATGCAATTTGGAGCAGATTCTAATGTTTAGATGGACAAAGTTATACAAAATTAACTAATGCTTGAGCTATATATATATATATATATATATATATATATATATATATATATATATATATATATATATATGTTAATGTGACTAAACTTTTTCTCTTTTAGGTAAGTTAGGATGATCACATGTGTTTCTGTTCTGCTTAATGGCAGAATAATGAGAGAGAGATATTTAGAGAAATAGTTATAACTTTTCTTGAAAGTCAAGTTTACACACAATAAGATTATTCTGCCTCTGGAAAAGCTCAGATGATGATGTCAGGGTTTTGGAAGTTTCTGATTGGCTAATTGACAACATTTGAGTTAATGTGAGGCACAACTGTAGAATAGTGTTGAAGGAAAAGCTCAAACACACTGCTTCACTGTGTGACAACATGGGGAAATCAACAAGCCAGAATCAACAACAAAGCCAGATTACAATCTGCTGAATTACGCTGGGAGAAAGACTCATGTTTGGAGACTTGTCCTGTGCTCTGATGGAGCTAAGATTGAACTGTTTGGCCATAATGAGCAGTGTTACATTTGGAGGACAAAGGGGAAAGCACACAAGCCTAGAAACACCATCAAAACTGTGCAGTATAGGGGCGGCAGCATCATGTTGTGGGGCTGTTCTGCTGCAGGAGGGACTGGTCCACTTCACAGCATAGATGGCATCTTGAAGAAAGAACATTATGCAGAAATACTGAAGCAACATCTCAAGACATCAGCCAGGACATTACAACTTGGCCACAGATGGGTCTTCCAAACAGACCATGACCCTAAACACACTCCCAAATGAGTTCAAATGTGCTTTAAGGACAACAGAGTGAATGTTTTGGAGTGGCCATCACAAAGCCCTGATGTCAATCCTATAGAGAATGTGTGCGCAGAGTTGAAAAAGCTTGTGCGAGCAGGACAGCCTACAAATCTGACTCAGTTACAGCAATTCTGTCAGTAGGAATGGGCCACAATTCCTATTGTGAGAAGCTTGTGGAAGGAGACCCAAAACATTTGACCAAAGATATACAGTTTAAAAGCAAAGCTAAAAAATACCAAGGAAATGTGTGTAAACTCTTGACTGTCTAGAAATTAATAAAATAATTCTCTCAATATTCTGGCATTTAGCAAATGTAAATCATTTAGGTAATCCTAACACACCTAAAGTAGTAAAAGTTTAGTGTGATTTACCATCAGACATTTAAAAAAATGGTTATGCTCCTTTCTTTAGAGTGTGTGTAAACTTCTGCTTTCAACTATATGAAAGCGAGCGGGTTTATTATATTTGCTATAAATGCTCCTGTTGTTCTGTGCATGTACTTGGGCTTTTAAAGGTACAGTACATATATCTGATTGTTTGTATTAAAGGTCAAAATTGTATTACAAATAATAAATAAATATATGTTTACATTTTAATACGAGAATTGCTGTGCTGTGAAGAAAATATAAAAGTATTTGTGGAAAGCACTGTCAATGCACCGAGATATCCAATTAAACTGAATCGATGGCCTGATAATCATAACTGAACCGAACTGTGAGGCCAGTGTAGATTCACACCTCTAATAAAGACGCCGTCTGAATCCATTCATCATATAATACTGTGTGTTTATCTGATTTCTGCATCTCTCAGAGTGAAAATGAAGCCGTCTCCGCCATGTCTCGAGTGCTGATCGCTGTGGAGATGCTTCAGTGTAACAGGAAGTCCAAACTGATGGAGTTTACAGTTCCTGCTCTGTCTGTGGTAAGAACATATAAACACGGCCTGTTCATATGTTGCTATGGGCTCAGAATGTAGATACTCTGGCCTCAAAGAGATGCTAATCCGATGTAAAATATTTATTTAATCAGAAACATCTCTGTGATCTTTTGAAGATTTAGTTTATTTGCTAATATCTTTTAAATGCATCATTGTGCAGAAGCAGAGGCAAACATCAACCAATTGTTTATGCCACTCTTGTGCTACTTCACAAATAGAGTGTATTCAGTGTGAACAGCCCCTTATTTGAGGCCTGTACCTTACAATGTCAATATGGAGAGCTGTATATCAACGTTGGTGGCAATAAGATGAAAGAATAGACACTTGAGAATCATTTCTTGAACTTCTACTTTTGCCATTATGTGGTTCTCCAGGGAGACTGATAAAGATCCATCAGTGGATTGTGATTGTGTGTCCAAAATCACATGCTTATGCACTAATCCACACCACTTTGTTGTACAAGTAATGCAATGAGAAGGAGCTTCTGAAAAGAGGAGTTGCTAGTAAAGTGGAGGAGCTGCTGAGAAAGGGAAGGGGCTGCTGAAGAAGGGGAGGGGCTAATGATGAATGGGAGGGGCTGATGTGAAAGGAAAGAAGCTTCTGAGAAGAGGTGGAGGTGCTAGTAATGCCTAGTTCACACTAGAGGATTTTAAGCCTGATTTGAGCCCGATTAGGAAGTTAACGAGCTCGCCGACAGATCGGGCTGTGATCGGGAAGAAATCTGCGGGTGCTCGGCGCTCGCCGCTCTTTATGTGTGAACTACTGAACAACACATCAACGAGGCTCGCTGACGCGTCGCCGACACCTCGCAGACGGAAATCCAACATTCAGCATGCTAAATATTCCAGAGCAGTCGGCCGACTCAACTCTACGTGTGGTCAGATGTAATGACGAGCTGCAGCCAATGAGAGAGCAGATCAGCATGAGCTGAACGCCTGTGTGTTCAGGAGCTCAGCAGAAACATCTGTGATTGGTCAGAATGGGCATCAGTGCACTCGCTTCATTCTGCGTTAGCACAGACATGAGAGGAGGATATATTAACAGTGGAGCTAGAATTCTGTAACTATTAGAATTACCATACTGCTCATTCTGACCGTTCTCATATAAACGCCATATTGTCACAACATATTTACATTCAAAGCTATTATTAAGATATTAAAATTAAGCTTTGAATGTCTGGCATCATATTTAATGACACATTACCCTAAAAATATAATATTTTTTGGCAATACAGCCTATAAATATGTAGTTAAGATACTAAAACACTTAAAGGTCTTGGCTTTCATTTTCACTTTCAAACAGGAGCTATTTTGCGGCACAGAATCTGCTGTTTTGAAAGATATCTGCAGTAAATTGATGTTTTTGCCATCAGAAAGTTTTGTTTATGTTAGCAGGAAGTTGCTGAAAATGCACACACATTTAAAGTCACAGCGAAAAGTATCAGACATGCATGCAGTCATGTTGACCAATATGGTAATTTAAGGCAGAAATGCTCAGTTCTTTACTGTTTTGTAATAAAATAAAATAAAAAAATGTCAGAAAGAAATACACTGATAGTTAGAAAACGGCAGGGTGTTAAAAAATGTTAGTTTTATTTCAAAGAGTTATAAAATTACAAAAATTAAAAACTCTCTGTGTATCTATCCACTCAAACCTGCAGATGAGTGATTAATCCACTGATAAATCAGCTTTCTAATAAATAATTCTAATAATTAAAATTTTTTTAATAAATGCTTTCTCCAAAGCTTGAAACGCTGTCAGTGATGTCATCAACACACATGCGGCCAACTCCTCCCTTAAAATTGTATTGGCTGTGGTTTGGTAGCTTGAATGAGCTGATGGGGAATGAGTTGTTGTCAGATCATGTAGTGTGTGCTTCTGAGAAGAGGTGGAGTTGCTCGTGAAGTGGAAGAGTTGCTGGTGAAGGGGAGGAGCTGCTGAGAAAGGGGAGGAGTTAATGATGAAGAGGAGGGGCTGATAGACAAGGGGAGGAGCTGCTAAGAAAGGTGGAGGGGCTGCTTAGGAAGGGGAGGATCTGCTGGCAAATGGAAGTAGCATCTGTGAAGGGGAGGGGCTGCTGGTAAAGAGGAAGATCTGATGATGGAGGGGAGTGGCTGCTGGTAAAGGGGAGGAGCTCATGAGGAAAGGGAGGGGGTGTTGAGGAAGTGGAGGAGCATCAGTGAAGGGGAGGAGCTGCTGGTAAAGAGGAAGAGCTGAAGATGGAGGGGAGTGGCTGCTGGTAAAGGGGAGGAGCTCATGAGGAAAGAGAGGGGCTGTTGAGGAAGTGGAGGAGCATCAGTGAAGGGGAGGAGCTGCTGGTTTAGAGGAAGAGCTGATGATGAAGGGGAGGGCCTGATGGCAAAGGGAAGAAGCAGATGAGAAAAGGGAGGGGCTGATGACAAAAAGGAGGGGCTGATGACAAAAAGGAGGGGCTGATGAGGAAGAGTAGGAGCTGCTGGCTAAGGGGAGGAGCTGCTAAGAAATGGAAGGAGCAAATGATGAAGGGGATAAGCTCATAAGTAAGGGGAAGAGATGATGGCAACGGGGTGCAGCTGCTGAGGAAGGGGAGGGGCTGCTGACGAATGGCAGGGGTTCATGATGAAGGGGAGGATCTGCTGAGAACAGGGTGGAGCTGCTGGCAAAAGGGAGGAGCTGATGACAAAGGGGAGTGTTCTGATGACATGGAGGGACATGAATAATGGGGAGGATCTGCTGATAACGAAGGGGAGGAGCTACTGGTCAATGGGTGGTGCTATCAGGTTGGATTACTGTATTTATTTTGGATTGTGTTTTCCAGTGCTGGGTTGCGGCTGGAAGGGCATCTGCTGCATAAAACATTTGCTGGAATAGTTGGCAGTTCATTCCGCTGTGGCGAACCCCTAATAAATAAGGGACTAAGCTGAAGGAAAATGAATGAACTTTAGATTGTGCAACATGATTCTCCTACAGAGATGTTCATGACGCTGACTGCATGTGCTCATGATGGGTGCAGTTTGGATTTGGGGGAGAATCATTAAATGTCATTTGCTATCGATTGGGAAACGGTTGAAATGTCCGGTTAATAAAAACACTAAATTCATACGCTATATGGTGAAGTGTATTAGTGTGCAGTGTGTCACTTGTGAGTCTGAAAGCCTCAGTCAGGCTGAGTAGATGCGGTGTGGTGTCTGTCAGTAACAGATGATCTCTCTCATCACACACACACCCTCTCTCTCTCAAGTTCAAGTTCAAGTTGCTTTAATGGCATGACATTAAGTACGGTATTGCCAAAGCACTTCAAATATAAAATATATTAAAAACATTGAAAAATTCTCTCTCTCTCTCCCTCTCCCTCTCCCTCTCCCTCCCTCTCTCCGTCAGCTGGTGGAGATGGCGTCGGGCGTTCAGTGGTCTGATCCTGCTGTAGAGCTCTGTGTGTGGACTCAGCTCGCTCTGTCCGCTCATCAGACCCGTGATCATGACCTCGTCCTGACCTGCACCCATAATGCACTGCAGCTGGAGCAGAGCGCCGTTCACAGGTTGGAGACGGACTCCAGCGCTCTGTGAGTGACATCAGTTCAAGTGAATTAAGTTCAGCTCTTCATGAGTCAGACAGCTGAGCAGCGCATCATGTGCAAAGAGAACATCAGTTTAGTTTAGGATGTAGTGAAATGGAGAAGTTCCTCAGTGTATTGTGTGTGTGTGTGTGTGTGTGTGTGTGTGTGTGTGTGTGTGTGTGTGTGTGTGTGTGTGTGTAGGCTGAGTGTGTGTTCAGTGCAGGAGATGCTGAGCAGTGCAGCGTGTGTGAGGGGTCAGAGTTTGCTTCATGAGGCCAGAGCTCATCACAGCACATATATGGAGGGTCTGCGAGCGCTGCTGTCCGCCGTCAGGTCTGGAACACACTCCTCTACTGCTGTGCTCCTGCTGCTTCAGGCTCAGTGCTGTGTGTGTGTGTGTGTGTGCGTATTTGCATGTGTGCATGTGTGTCTGTGTGCATGTTTGCGTGTATGTGTGTGTGTGTGTGCGCATTTGTGTGTGTGTGTATGTTTTGTGCATGTGTGTGTGGCATTTGTGTAGATGTGTGTCTGAGTGTGTGCATGTGTGTATATGCAGGGGCGTGTGTGTTTGTGTTTGTGTGTGTGTGTGTGTGTGTGTGTGCAAGTTTGTGTGTGATGTTTGTTTCAGTAAAATTAGCAGAAACCCTGGTCCCCTCTTGGTCATTTTTAACAAATGTGTATGTGTGTGTGTGTGTGTGTGTGTGTGTGTGTGCGTATTTGCATGTGTGCATGTGTGTCTGTGTGCATGTTTGCTTGTATGTGTGTGTGTGTGTGCGCATTTGTGTGTGTGTGTATGTTTTGTGCATGTGTGGCATTTGTGTAGATGTGTGTCTGAGTGTGTGCATGTGTGTATATGCAGGGGCGTGTGTGTTTGTGTTTGTTTGTGTGTGTGTGTGTGTGTGTGTGCAAGTTTGTGTGTGATGTTTGTTTCAGTAAAATTAGCAGAAACCCTGGTCCCCTCTTGGTCATTTTTAACAAATGTGTATGTGTGTGTGTGTGTGTGTGTGTGTGTGTGTGCGTATTTGCATGTGTGCATGTGTGTCTGTGTGCATGTTTGCTTGTATGTGTGTGTGTGTGTGCGCATTTGTGTGTGTGTGTA